TTGTTAGTGCTATGTTTCTTTTGCTTCTGGAACCTGTCATTTTAGAAGCCAAGAGATCAAAAGCCAAGTCATAGTCACATGAAGATGGAAGCTTGTTACCTCAGCTTTTTGGACAGATGTTTCTTTACTTAAAAAAGAAGGTGTCTGTCTTCTCTATTGCCTTTCCATCTCCAGCTTACCCTCCCAAACCTATGGTGCGAATGGCCGCAGAAATTGTTTTCATGACAAAATGAGACCCATCACTCTTTCGAGCCACTCAAAGTTGTTTCCCTCTGCTGGCAAGAAGCCAAGTAAAACCAGTCTCATACTCTCTCAGCCCCTCATACTTCGCTAGATGTAAAGCAGAAAAGGTTGGGCATTTGTGAGACAGGATGCTATTTACAATTCAGATTGGCTGCCACGGATGTTGGGAGTCAAAGAGGCCCTGATTTACTGCTTCCCCGGAAGCACTTGGGCAGGTAGCTGAGGGAGAACAAAATGGGCCTTTATGGAGATAGCTGACTTAGGATAGTATCTGTACAAAGGACCTAAACAGGGGGTAACGTGAACAAATGTTAACCATGCTTTGACTCTAGAACTTGGTGTCATCTTTAACAAGGAATCAGGGCAACTGTCCACTTAGTGAGTTGACTGTCACTGTGGAATCCATCTGGCCCTTCGCTGCTACATCCCCTTTTGGACCTTAGCATCACTAACCTTGTAAGGGGATAACAGCTTTTTTCATAACCAGGTAGTCTGTGACTAGGTCAGAATGCTTCACCAGTTGTTTTTCCATGTGTCATCTGTGTAGTAGTCATGTTGGGGATCTAGCACTAGGGACAACAGATGATTGGCCAGCAGCAAAGAGCAATAATTGTATTCTGTGTTTCTTCTGGTAAGTGTGGCAAGAGTCTGTTGGTGAACTTTTATGTATGTCTCTTGGTTTACTTAATAACAGACATATGTAATACTTTAATCAATAAAGAAATTAAAAGTAAAAGAAATAACAGATTGATGTACAGTTAAGACATAAAAGCACAGTATCTGTAACCTCTGAGATTGACAACTTCCATAAATTACCTTCTGGAAATTAGGAGATTGTATATAAGTTGTATAGACTTCTTACTAGTCTGTGCCCTCAAAATAATTAGACTTACAATAAAAAGAACATCTGATTTATTGTTTGTAAGGTATGATTGGGCATACAACTTTTGAATTCTTTTCCAGTCTTGCTAAAACAAAGGCATAGACAAATTGGAGCAAGCTGTTAACACCAATGATAATAAAGCCCCCACTTACTGAGTGCCTCTCTGTGCCAGACACTGCACTAACACCCTTACCTATTTCATGACTTAACCACACTGCAGGAGGGTGTTGGAATGACTGTTTTACAGGGGAGGAAACTGCGTCTGAGACTGGGTCAGCTACTTGCTGGTGATCATAGAATTAGTACCTGTAGTGATCTGGGATTTGAACCTGGATTTGACACAGGTGTGCTGCACAATTTCTATACTTATATCCTTTAAGATGAAAAAAAATTACAAACAGGTCTAAAAAGAAGTAGTTGTAAAACTTCTAAGGCATAGGAGCCCAGAAAGCAGAGTTTTTAACATGTTATGGAAGATCACAAACCAACAACATGTTATAATCAGAATGAATTATGGAGTGAGTTACTTAACTAACACTCTGGGGTGACTTCAGGTAAAGGAGAGGATTAATAGCTCTTATTTTCACATGTGCCACCACAGATTTTTAATGAACTGATTTTCTGAGCTTTAAAAATGACAACGCTTGTAGGCACTGTGTCTCCTGTCACCATGTTAGGCATTATTCAGTGCCAAAACCAGGAACTTTTCTCCTTCATCTGTCTACCCTGCCACTGGAAACATGCTCCCCTAAGTCTACCATCCCACTGCTTCCTATGACCAGCTCGTATAAAGTGGTAGTATTGTGTTTAATTTGTAAAATTTAAGTAGTATAAAGTGGTAGTATTGTGTTTGCTCTTCCCACTCTACCATTTCAGGGGTTAAACAGAAGACTTCAGTCTACAGTGCATCAGCATTTATAAAGAGCTATATCCTTCGGAGCCCATATTTAAGTTTAATTAGTATTGAAACCAGGCTTTAAATTTGGATAAGTTTAGGGAACTTGACCAGTAAGTATATGTATATTGGGACTTAGAGGAGGAGTCCTGGCACTTTTTGAGATATTGGACTTGAGGTATGCAGATTGGTAAAGGGAAGAAAACAGGTCATTCATGGCTTGGGAGAGCAGCTTAAAGTAAAAAATGGTTTATGATTCTAGGTTTGATGCTTGTTTGGACAAACCAGCTGTGATCTATCTGGGATATCTGAATTTGGTCTGGGTATTAGATGAGATACAATGTTATTGGAATGGAAAGGTGAAGGTTTTAAAAAATCAGGTTCCAGAAGAGAATGTTGAATAAAACATTATTTTTGTGAAAATGTGTTTGAATATGTGTATATGGGACAAAGGGAAAGACTTGATAGGATATAGATCAAGATGTTAAATTAGGACCGCTGATCTCTGAATGATGATAATGTGAAAGTTTATTTAAAGATGTTTTTGCTCATCTGTATTTTCTAATGTTATCAGTGCACATGCTTCTATTATTATCAAAGGCTGTTTTGAAAATTGACTGAAAAGGAATATCTAGTAGAGTCTCCTTTTGCTTGTAGATGAAGATAACTTAGTGTGAGGGCAGGTGAGGTAAAACAAGGTACTGAGTGCCTTAAAGGTTTAAATACAGTGATTTGATAATATAAAACATCAAGAATAAAAAACACACCTTGTTATCTTTTTTTAAAAATATGCTTTTTAATTGATTTTAGAGAGACAGAAAGGGAGGAGGGAGAGAGAGAAAAAAACATTGATTGGATGACTTGAGCCCACAACCCAGGCATGTGCCCTGACCAGGAATCAAATTGGCAACCTTTTGGTGCTCTGACCTTTTGGTGACGCTCAACCAACTGAGCCACGCTGGCCAAAACTTTTTATCTTTTAACTGATAATATTTAAGATAAATTTATCAATTTGTATGATTTTGAGAAATTTACTTTTCTAATTATGTTTTAGAGTGATAATCATTTTTATTTTCAGATTATACACAGATGTAGTGGATAGAGCTAAAAAAAATGAGCTGAGTGGCTGGGGAAGTCATCTTGGGATTTAAATTTTACAGAGATAATGCAGAGTTCATGGTATTAAGAGTTTGGCTGAAATCCCTAGGAGTTAAGAAATTTCAAACAAAAGCTGACAGGAGACAGTTGGCTTTAAAATGAACAAGTCTGGCAGAGTTCACGTGCATCATATATTAGGATCATCAGCAATGCAATGAATTTTGATTGCTAAATCACTAAAGTTAGAAACTAAAAATACGGTTTTGATTTCTTTAGTCCATATTTAAGCTTAAAAAAAAATCGCATTATATTTGAACCAGCTATTGCAGTTTTTCTAAATTGGAGTAGGAAGAAAGATACAGAAATGATAAACTGGAATTAGAAGAGGGAATATTGGCAAAAGGCTAGATACTCAAGTGGTAGGGAAGTCATGTTTACTTTGAGAAAAATATGATTATGAAGTTGTATCCTACTTGGGAAGTAGGTTCCAAAGTCAGTACCTGAAGTGAAAATGGAATAGTCAAAATTACCCAGATATATGTGGCTTGCATTTTTGGGCCAGGCTTTATACACTAGAACCACCTTTAGCATGGGGACCAGTATTCTAGCCAAACAAGGTTTAGACTGCACCTTACAGTATCTGTGTTTCTGGGGCCATTTATTCCTGGGGCACCTGGTGTCACCTTGAGGATTGGGTCTAAAAAGGGCATCCAGTGTGGGGCCCTTATAACATCCGTGGGCAAACTACGGCCCGTGGGCCGGATCTGGCCTGTTTGAAATGAATAAAACTAAAAAAAAAAAAGACCGTACCCTTTTATGTAATGATGTTTACTTTGAATTTATATCAGTTCACACAAACACTCCATCCATGCTTTTGTTCCGGCCCTCCGGTCCAGTTTAAGAACCCATTGTGGCCCTCGAGTCAAAAAGTTTGCCCACCCCTGCCTTATAATGTTCAGGCCTGGTTCACAAATTCTGAGGGTGTGTGGGGACTCTAGGGATTATTTGGGGGGCTATCTGAGACTTGGGATATATGCAGGGATCCTGGGTTGAAAGGCCTCTGGGTATTAGGAATCTCCAAGTGAAATTCATGTGGCCTGGGTTTCCTCTGGACAGCCTGAGACGCTGTTTTACAGTAGGAAAAGCACCGAACAAGATACAGAACTTGCTTCTGTGCCACTACTAATTTGCCCCGTGTTCCGAAGTCAGTGTTTCTTAGCTTTTATGTTTGTGGCACATTTTCTAATTGAGTTTTGGTGACATAATTAAAGGGGATAAAAATCTGAAAAGAGCACTAAACAAACCAGTAACAATTCAGTAGAGTTATTTTAGAGTATCACCAAGTCTTGGCATCTATAAAAGCATCTTTGGTTGGTATATTTTACTTGGTCACTCTTTCAGCATTGTTCTGCTGTTAGGACTGTTGTCTTCGTGGCTGTGCTCGCTCATAAAACTACAATGTAACAGTATTTGTGGTTTTATTAATTCACTCTGTCTTTGGCACTAGCCTTGTGGTGTGTTACTCCTCTTGCCTCTATTCATAGCAAATCTGTACTCTGAATTGGTGCTCTCCTCCTCTGTCGTACCTACTTCAGGACTGTTGTGAGGATCAGTGAAGTATAAAGGATAAAATGTTTTATAACACTTTTTATAAAGTTATGAAAGGATTAAGAACTGTAAGGGATTTTTGTTTGCTTGTCTCTTTGCCTTACTAGACAGTGATATTATTGTAACTATAATTTGGACTGGATTTTTTTTCTTCCTTTACTTTATTCCTAACATGTGGCTCAGTTTGGCATATAAAAAATAGTAAATAAATATTCATTAAATTGAAATTTTAAATTATTTTTGTTCTTAATATTGGATTGTTTTGCCACATAGCCAACTTCTTCTGTGCAAAGTGGCATCAGTTATGCAGAGACTCAGTTGTGGACGGTAGACCTCACCCTGTGTACAGAGGAACAAGGTGAGTGTTTGGTGCTTCTGGTGGCTTTATATGGGGAGCAGGGACAAAAAGACAGAGATTTTAGGTGGCTTCTTCTGAGAAGCATTCTTCCTTATGCAGTCAGCTGGATTATTGCAGGGCTGCTGTGTGCATGTGGCGTGCAGCATTTTGTTTAGTCTGACTTGAGATGTTCTGAGTGGTTTTTATTATTATAGTATGTCAATTTGAGGCTCCTCCACAGCCTTATAGATTTCATTTTCTTTAATTGGGATGGGGGGAGAGAGAGAGAACAGCATTTACTTGGCATTCTTGCCTTTTAGAGCTGTGGGTTATTGATTCAGGGGCCTAGAATAGTAATGCTTGAAAGTAAAGGTTCCCTTGGGATCACCGATGTTAAAGGGCAGAGGGAAAATGATTAGAATTTAAATCTCCAGACTCCACTGAATTTGTGGCTTCATTAAAAAAAGGAGGGGGGAAGGAAATGATCTGGGCTGCTGCTGTAGGCTTTGTTTAACACTTGCATTCACCAACTGATAAGTCTGAATTGCAGCCTTTACCAGTTGAGCTGTATGCCAAGTGCGAACAGCCAACTGGTGGACAGACTTTTTTTACTGCCAGGCATCATTTGGGCCATGTTCAGTGAGGGCCAATCAATTCTGGCTGTCTCTCTTCTTTTCTGTGGAGAATGTAACCTTTGGCTTTGGCTTTCTTTGAGCTAGTGAAATCTCTTTTGCCTGTTTGTGGAACATGTAATCACCAAATTACACACATACTTTGTTCTTTGATGTGTCAGTCTTTAGAAATTCTACTTCCCTAAGGTCAAGTTTTCCTTTTAGACTATCTGATACCTAGTATTGCTTCTTAACATTCATGTATATCATTCATACTTAGCATTCATTGCTATATTATTATTATTTTATGAAATGAAGTATAGCCTAGTTAATCTTTCAACTTTCAGCTAATCAAAAATATATATTTTCTTATGGAATGTATGATTTCCTTATAGAGAGGCCCTGTGTATAGTGGTTAAAAACATGGGCTCTAGAGCTGGGATGCCTGGGACAGAATCCTTCCTCTGCAGTTGACTAATTGGTAATCCATCCTGCTATTACTTAATCTCTGTACTTTAGTTTCCTCATCTATAAAGTGGTGATATTAGTACTGCCCACCTCCTAGTGTTGGTAAATGTTAAATTAGGTAGTAAATGTAAAGCACTTATTACAGTGGCTGGTACTTTAGTACTTAATAAATGTTACTATTATTAATTTGTTGTTTCCCCAATGAATTTGCCTCCCTAATGACTCTACTTCAATGAATATTTAATGTAGCATATTTTTGCTGAGTATCTCCCAATGGATGGAAAGGCTGCCAAAATTGTTTGAATTGCAAGGGAATGTCATCTTGGTGTTACAAATACGAAACAATTTATAAGAAGAAAATACAGTTTAACTAACAAATATAGTTGCTAAATTAACACATACATTTCAGAAACATGCAAAAAGTTCCTATCAATTATCTTTTACCAGTGCTGCAATTTCAAAAATCTGCTTTAAAAAATGTATATTTTTAAGCTGTGAGAAGAGGAATCATGATGCTTAGGAGTCAGCGGACTTGGAATGACAGCATTGTGACCTTAGACCAGTTACTTCCTCAGTATGCAATTTTTTCTTATGTGAAAATGAGGTGGTTGGAATATCTGATTTTAAAATACCTTCGGAATGATATTTTAGAATTCTAGGATTTAGGTCCTAGAAGTATAATTTCAAGGTGCTTTATTATTTGTCTGCATTAGCCATAGTTGTGCATATTTCTCAGATTCTAAGAAATATGAAATTTATCAGTCACTTTCCTTATTTTGCCTGCTTTGATGCAAGATAAGCCACTGTTCATATCCAAATGGTGATTAGGTCTTGGGTGCATGGTTCCGTTTGGATATATTTTGTAATGTAAATATTTTGGTTGATCAGCATTATGTCAGGGGTAAAATATCCCTACAAGGACATGGGGTTGTTTACACAGGATTGTTATAAATATACAATAACAATGACTATTGGGATTGTTGCTGTTTTATAAAGGAAAATGTTTTCAGGCACCACAGCTGCCTCCCTCAAGAAGAAAGAAAGAGGAGGAGAGTGCGAAAGGAAGGAAAATTGACTTGCTCTTTTTAAAGAAATTATGTATGGCAGATTTTTGTGTGTGTTAAAAGTAAATCATGTTACTGATCCCATGAAAATATGCACACACATGTGCACTTCTCTAAATTGGGTTAAAGGAGCATTGTCAGGCCTGATTGAGAATATACTACAATGTACTTCTGATCTCCAAGTTTTTTAATTGAAACTCAAGTCCCTGCCTGGGGACCTGAAATTAAAGATAAAAGTGTGGAGGCTTTCACCTTAAAGTGGAAAGTTGGTTATTGATCTTGTTTACAGTAAGTAGATGATTTAGCTGGTTCAGTAGGAGTCACAGCTCCAGCTCCAGTGTGTATCTGACTATTTTGAGGAGGAGAGAGACAAAATATTGAGCAACCAGAAACAATATAATACCTGGAAGCTTGCACTATTGAAATGCTATGTGTTCTACATGCTATAGGTTTCATGAAAACAAAGCAAGAGATCACCCTCATTCTGGAGATTGGGCAATAGCCCAAGCAGCTGTGAAAGTGAATAGAAGCTGTCCCTGTTTGTCTCAGTTTTCCCATTCATTTTGTCCAGAAGTTTAGAATCACCAAGCAGAGGGATCACATTGCTTATTGGGGTTTGAGAGTCATTCTGACATTGTTGCAAATTAGATCTTTCTAAAACAGCGAGTTGTATCTTGTATCAGCATAAGCTGTTTAATTTAGGAGTGATTTTGGTATGATACATAGCAACCTTAGCAGGGAAGGACTGATTCCTTATTTGGGGCTGAGGGTTTTTAGGAATCTCAGAATTTGGATTTTAGATTTAATGTCATGGGGACAATGGCAAAATAAAATGTTTCATAATTAAATGCAATACCTTTAAGTGTTCTATTCAAGGTCCTGTGTTAGTGACTGTGGATCATCAGGCATTTTACTATAACATGATATATCTATGTTCTACAAAATTGTACATTGAAAATAATAGGGCTTATGGGAAAAATAGACTGTGTAGACTGCTCAAAATCTATGCAACTTGAACCATGGAACCAAAAAAACAATAGCTTGGACAGCCCAGGCAGGCAGCTCAGCATGGGTGGAAGTTGCCATTGATATTAAAATGCACTAAAAAAGGAGTTTCAAAATGCTGACTTGTAAAAATGTGAGATAATGCATTTGAAAGTGGAGCCCTGAGCCAGTGGGGTTGCCATTAAGGTGACCGCAGAAGGAAGTAAGACTTGCTCTGAGATGAGAACCAGAAATTACATTTCTCTTAACCTTGTGTGTAAGCCTTCACTTTTCATTTTTCTTCAATAGAGCAAAGAGCCTTGTCTGTGTAGCAGCCTAGCAGAAGCCATTTTACTTTTCCTTGGAAGATTACAGTTCTATTCTATTCTAGCTCCTCTTGCCTAAGAAAAAAATTACCTATGAACCATGCAACCAAGTTCCATGTTCTATCGACACTAGTGTCCTAGGGCACGGATTTGTGCACATTGAAAGGAAATTAATTAGAAGAAATATTTTAATATCACTATTCGCCCTTTCTCTATAATAGAAGTGTCAACCAAATTCAGATCGAAATACACATGTGATTGGCGGCAGCAAGAGCTTTATATATATCGCGCATGTGCAAGTCAACTTAGCTTTTTATATATATAGAATAAACTTGCTTAATTAGACCTGCTTTCTGATGTAGCTAAACTTTTTTCCAGCCCAGTGAAGCACCCCAACTTCTATTTTAGGTAATTGTCAGCAACACAGCAGTAAATATAAACACAAAGCAGATTATTATTGTAGGTCACGCAGGGAGAACAAAAGGTAAAATATTTAACTGTAGCAGTGTTTGACTATATTCTGCACAGTGAGAAAACCATTTCTTCTTTTCTATCGGGTCAAGTTTCTAAACTTTCTAAATCTCTGTTTTCTGGCTAATGAAAAGAAAACAGGATTCCACTGAGTCTCCTGTCTACCTACTCCAGGACTTCTGTGAGGATCAAATGAGATGAGGCACGTGAAAACGCTTACAGACATTTGGTAAAGCTGTAAAATGTTTGTACCTGGCTATAAAGCTAGTTGGGTTCCTGGGCTGAAGAAACTGCAAGGAGGCTAGTTGCTAGGGAGAGGAAGCCGGGTGTTGCTATGTGAATTTATTACCCAGGCGCCCACAGTGACCGTTTCCAGGCTGGGCTGGGCTGGGGGCCGCATTTTTGCACCCTGGGTCTTGGCAGCGTTGGCTGCGATTTGGTGGGCTGTTGCTCCAGAGTGGTGGCGGGGCCTGTGTCCCACTTGGGGGAAGCCGAGTGTTGGTTTGTCGGCAGCAGGTCCATGGTGCCATTTATTTTTAAATGGCCAGTGCGTGCCATGGCAGCTCCTGCACTGAGTGTCTATCCCCTGGTAGTCAGTGTGTGTCATAGCTACCGGTCGAACGGATAGACACAGCCTTTTATATAGATAGATGAAATAAATGGTGCTGTAGAAATGTTTGTAGCAGAATGGACTATAAAGGTACAGATACGAGCAACACCTATATGGAATTAATCATATAGTTGAAAATATGAGAAATAAAGTTAAGTGATGAAAGGTTTGAAAATGGCTCAAGGAAATATTGTCAGAAATAACAAAATGCAGTATATTATTATCAAATGATTAATGAATATGTAATTGCTCTAGGAATTTAGAGATGGGGAAAGAGGTCTTCAGAAGGGGATGGTCAGGGAGAGTTCAGGACAAGGTGGATCATTGATTTTAGTTTCTAACTTTCTGGATGAAGTGAAATAAAAATATTTAACTTAATGCTTCTGAGGAGTTACACAATTCTTAAAATTCTATAGTTGTTAGATATTTAGTGTTCTTTCTCCCTCTTATTTCCTCCCTGCCTCCCTTTCACCCCAAGGCATTAAAA